CACACACACACACACACACACACACACACACACACACACACACACACGATGCCCAGACTTGCGGGCTGCTTATCCCTGCAGTGGATTAAAAACAAGCTGAAGCGATCAGAGGTCCCCGCCTAACCATCCCCCCGCTCCCTGCTTTGTCACCAGGCTGCTCAGACAACGCGGCGAACCAGGAGAGCGGCGTGCTCCCAGCCCAGCGCCGCAGGGTGTTGGGGCTGGGGTACTCTCAACACGAGGCCTCCTCTGGCACTAGACCCGGGTTCCTGATTCCCACTTTTGCCCCCTCTTGTTCACCTTCCCCAACTACAGTCCACCCTCTGCCCAACAGGACACAGATACTCGCTAGCCAAGAGATGGAAAGAGGGAAGCTGGGAGCTCCCAGGCCTTGACCTTCCCACTCCCGACCTCAGCTGGAAACCTCAGAGATGACCTCCTGCAGCCTCTCCAGGATGGTGACCTCAGCCCCCACCTCTTCTCCCCTGACCCCCGCCCCGAGGCCACTGGGCACAGCCCCTGAGGGACAATGCTCAGAGTTTACGGTCTGAGGCCACCTGTCCCAAACCTCATACTCCTCTGGACCACATGCCTGGCTCCTCTGTCCCAGGAAAGCACTTTGAGATGTGTCCCCTGGGTCAGCCATTCCCAGCCCTGTCCCCTGCACCCTGTTCCAGCTGCCTCTCTCCTCTGTACTCCCCCAAGCTGCCAGTGACCCTCCTAAGGGCCAGGCCTGGCCACTGCAGCCTGGGGTTGGACCCTCCCCTCCCTGAGGATGGATGCTGGGCTCTTTCAGCCCAGCCACACATGTGGCTCTGGATGACCTGGTCACTGATACTCCCAGGTGCTCTCTCTTGGGTCCAGGCTCTGCTGGGATAAACTGGCTTTTGCAACTAATCTGAGGACAATTAAACTACCTCCTGGCATGTAGTGTGGTGGACTCAGGAACCATTTTGCTAGGGTTTTAAGCTTAAAGACCTCAGGGAAGCCACTTAACTTTTCTGTGGCTCAATTCAATTATATGTGAAAATGGAATAACAGTAATGCCTACTACATAGATGTTACTGGGAGGCATCAACCAATTGATATAAGTAAACTATGGAGAGCGGAGTATAGCCTGGCTCCCAATAAGGGCTACACGTGTGTTAACTATTATTATTATCTTACCACTTTGTGTTCAGGTTTTTTCACCTTCCTGCTGCCACCTCCACCACCATAAGCCCTCTGTCATATTCAAAATAGGAACATCAGGCCTGCTGCACTTTTATTTGCTGATGGCTAACATTTATTAACCACTCGGTACATGCCAGGCACTCTTCCAAACAATCAGTATGCATTAACTCATTTCACCTGCCCCAAACCCATGCAGTCGTTCCTAGCATTATCCTCATTCTATAGCTGAGGCGACTGAGGCACAGAAAGGCTAAGCAACTTCCCCAAGGACACACAGCAAGCATGTGGTAGAGCTGGGAAGTGAACCGAAGCAGCTTGGCTCC